CCTATCCACTGTAGGAAGCTCAGTTTTTCACCTAGTGTCAAGGACTAAGGACCTAAGAATCCATACTGGGAATCATTTTTCCCCTTTTGATTTTTTTTTCCCCTTTGTCAGCTTTGGTGATTCTCTTCATTTAATAGCTGGCTGGGTGACAAGCTGTTAATTGGTTTCTCCCCACACTCTGCTCGACATACAAAGCATCCTGATCCTCCGGGGGGAGCACATATGACCGGGCGGCCCAGTCACACTGTCCTTCTACAGGAAGATGGCACCCTGGTGGGTGTGAAAGTTTGTGAAATCGCCCCGTACTATTTCCATAATCCATTTACCATTGTGCCAGGGAGTCTGGAACACTTGATAATTGTCTGATTTACATGGGCGAAGATATAACTTGGTACTCTGGTGATGGGATTATGGAAATAGAACAGGGTGGTTTCACCAACTTATACATCTCCCAGTTTATTTTTGCACACCATCCATCTGCCTTGACACCTTCCATGGTGATTGGATGGAGTGGATGGAGTTACCAGTGCGGCTGGAATGTTCCCAGCACTCATTAATGCTAAGCAAGTCACTTGGATGACGGGTGAAATGTCTCCAATATTACAGGACAGTTCCAGTTAAATGGGACTAATTACTACTAACTTGTCAGTTTAATATGTAAAAAATAAAAAGAAATGTTTTTCTATCTTATTACATAGTATTTGAATAAACACACAGGTCCATCAAGTTCCACCTTTGTGTGTAGTGCGTGCATGGGTGTATATTAGTCCCTTGGGGTTTAAAGTGACATTAAACCCTCAAGATTTTTTAACATAAACCAATACTGTAATGTGCGCCTTACTGTAATCCATTGCTGCAAAAGGGGCCCAAACCAAGTACTGAGTACATATGCATGCTTGTACTTTTCAGAGGTCCGATATTGTTCTATGTACAATCCTTGTTTTATTGATTGCATGTAATAATCTACTTTTTTGAGGTTGTGGATTTGGGGTTCTTGGGGTTTTCATGAGCTGTAAGCCATAATCATCACAATGATGACAAATCACGGCTTGAATTATCTTGCTTTGCATGTAATGAGTCTCTCTCATATATTAGTTTCACCTTTTAAGTTGCATTAGTGAAATAAATTAACTTTTGCACGATATTCTAATTATTCGAGTTTCACCTGTAAGAGGCACATTACTTACTAAATCACAGCCCACAGGCAAAAGAAAGAAAGTTTCATGTGTAAACCCCAACAATGAACTTCTCTTATTTGCCTCATATCAATGTATCACAACACTGCTATCACCTGCTATAAAACACAACTGAAGCTGAAGTGAGCCCAAAAAATTTACCCCATCCATTTACTGAAAGACATAGAGGAGATCTTTAGATCTTGGTCATCGGGTTATAATGCCACCAGCAGTTGTAGGAATTTCAGTTTTTCACCTAGTGTCAAGGACTAAGGACCTAAGAATCCATACTGGGAATCATTTTTCCCCTTTTGATTTTTTTTTCCCCTTTGTCAGCTTTGGTGATTCTCTTCATTTAATAGCTGGCTGGGTGACAAGCTGTTAATTGGTTTCTCCCCACACTCTGCTCGACATACAAAGCATCCTGATCCTCCGGGGGGAGCACATATGACCGGGCGGCCCAGTCACACTGTCCTTCTACAGGAAGATGGCACCCTGGTGGGTGTGAAAGTTTGTGAAATCGCCCCGTACTATTTCCATAATCCATTTACCATTGTGCCAGGGAGTCTGGAACACTTGATAATTGTCTGATTTACATGGGCGAAGATATAACTTGGTACTCTGGTGATGGGATTATGGAAATAGAACAGGGTGGTTTCACCAACTTATACATCTCCCAGTTTATTTTTGCACACCATCCATCTGCCTTGACACCTTCCATGGTGATTGGATGGAGTGGATGGAGTTACCAGTGCGGCTGGAATGTTCCCAGCACTCATTAATGCTAAGCAAGTCACTTGGATGACGGGTGAAATGTCTCCAATATTACAGGACAGTTCCAGTTAAATGGGACTAATTACTACTAACTTGTCAGTTTAATATGTAAAAAATAAAAAGAAATGTTTTTCTATCTTATTACATAGTATTTGAATAAACACACAGGTCCATCAAGTTCCACCTTTGTGTGTAGTGCGTGCATGGGTGTATATTAGTCCCTTGGGGTTTAAAGTGACATTAAACCCTCAAGATTTTTTAACATAAACCAATACTGTAATGTGCGCCTTACTGTAATCCATGGTAGTTTCCCTTCTCTTTGCTGCTCTTCCTTTTAAATCCTTATCTCTTCTCATGCTGGGGGAGAACTTCTGTTTTGCAGCAGACTGCCTTGTCTCTGCAATGGATACACGGTGTCTGTGTGCAGGTTCACAACCTGAGCCAGCACTACAGGAAGAGGCACCCAGCTGCAAAGGGAAGTTCTCACCAAGCATGAGAAGAGATACAGATTTAAAAGGAAGAGCAGCAAAGAGAAGGGAAACTACCATGGATTACAGTAAGGCGCACATTACAGTATTGTTTTATGTTAAAAAATCTGAGGCTTTAATGTCACTTTAAGGATTTAAGTGTACCTGTACCCCTGCATGTTATGTTCTCTGAGGAAGGTATCTAGTTGATTTTTGAATGATTCAGTATTCTCTGCTGATACCACAGCTTGTGGCAGAGAGTTCCAAAAATCTAACCGCTCTGACTGAGAAGAAGCTCCTACGCCCCTTTGTGGGTAAATCCTTTCTCCACCAGTTTTAGGTGGTGGCCTCTAGTCCTTGTTAGGGAGTTTAGAAGTAAAAGGTTTATTGCCGATGTTGCCATCTCCACTAAACATTTTGTACATTAAAATCATGTCCCCTCTTAATTACATTACAGTGCGAGTATAATGGAGGAAATGTGTACGTACCCCGGTATGTACATGTCCACAGGAAGATACCAAAACATTCCAAAGAAGACTGCAATAGTAAGGAACACGGCCCCGGCCTTCCATCCTGTAGGTGTCACACAAATCACATTACAGAGATGACAACAGCAGCCAGAAGAACTATTTGTATCTACTTACATTCTCCTCTATATACACATTACACATCCCTGCCTTGTACAGTCAGGTCTATGTACCCCATTGTTGTTCTCTTTTTTAAATCTTATTCGGGTCGGGGGGTGGAGTTAACTCCCTGTCTTTCTTTTATCCGCTGGCTTCCTATATCTGTCCTAAGAACTTCATCAGTGAGATTTTCTCACTGTAGTTCTTGGCTTCGACCACCTGGAAGAATTGGGGGATCCAGCTGTTGCATTGAAAGCTCCAACAGGGAGAGCCACAGATATGGCATCCTTGTCCCGCCACCTCAACCAGAGTTCTCTGTGCATCAGTATGGGCATGGGTTCCATGTGACACAAGCTTAATTGCTTCCAACAAGCCATCACAAGTGAAATATAAGGGCTCCCAACATTTATTTTTCACATGCTCAGTTTAGAAAGGTCTACCCGAGTGTTGGAGAGGTCCTTTTAAAAAGGGATCCAACCCATTCCGCCACAGGTTTACAGATTAGGGTCATAGCCAACATAGGACAGAGGGAAATACCTACCAGAGCAAAAAGAAAACCATTCTATCAGTAGAATCCTTTGAGGTATGTGTGCCCTCTGGTGGGTCACTGGTAGGACCACAGTGGGTAAAGACCAACAGCAAATTCCCTCTTAAATGGAAACAGGTCCAACAAATTATTGGGGCCCGGGACCCGTCTGGGTGTATTCGGTCATTCACATAGCTTTGTGAATGAGGTGATGTTGTGCTGATTGACTTCCATTATGTGCTGACACGTGGCACATTGTAAGATCATAGTTTTAGGTGTGAATTGGGTTTACACCAAGCCCCCCGCATATCATAACTCAGCATCTGTTCATCTGGGTCCAGCCATGTTAAACAGAAACCTCCACAAACAGAGACTCGTCTATATGATAAACTCTGCAGCCTCTCCCTGTGCTTTATCATTGTAAAGACCCGTAAGCCCTCGTTCACACCTGAACGTTTTGTAGCGCGTTCTACGCTCGACGAACGCTCTACAAAACGCTCAAAAATATAAATTGCATTGTAGTCAATGGGTCTCGTTCCCACCTTGCCGTATTTCTGCCCGTCCCAAACGCGCTACAAAACGGCCCACGCCTGAAAAGGTACAGGTACTACTTTGGGCCGTTTTGTTTCCATTGGGATACAGCCAAGTAGCCATCGGAAACGCGCGACTTTTTACCGCAGTTCTTGTTTGGGATTCTGTGCAATCTACGTACACGCATTCTGTGCAGTTTCTGTTCTTCCCCCGCAAGCCACATCGGCTCAGTATTACTCCAGACTTTAACGTGAAGCCAGCCAATTTCTCCCGGCCGCCTATAACCACATCATAGCTCAAGTGATGCAACGCTGACCACGCGCCTGGGAGAAAATTGCTAGATTTAGTGTGTGCCGGTGCTCGGGCAGCTTATGTGGTGTAATTATAGACAGACACCCTTCCAACATTCCTGCACTACGAGTCACCCTGACCAACATGGCCGCACTTGTGATTCCGTCACTTTGCCGCTGAGAGGTTTAAAGTGTATTTGGCAAAAAATAAAAAATTCCTTTTGAAGTGGGGAAGGATTACACCCCCTCTGTCGGTGTGCCCATTGGGGAATTCACCCCTCAATTTGTACTGGTGACAGCTGTCATCGATTTAAAAAAAAAAAAGCGAGGGGAAATGTAACATTTCAAAGTTGTTTCCAGAGCAGGAAGTGAGGGGAAATCTGTTCCAGGAGCAACTGTTTGACAGGAGTTCCCCTAACCTTGGGAGATTTTGATTGATTCCTGCTGAGTCTCTGTGACAGGAGGTGTAGGGAAGGAATTGCCTCAATGACAACTGACGGAATCCTCCCTAATCCAAACTAGACAAAGTTCTGGCCACACATCATACACTGTAATTGCCTGTTGTCAGTCGTCTCATTAACATCACATTGATTTCGGTGAGCTGCCAATGAGTAGTTAACTTTTTCGTCAGCAAAGAGGTTTCATCTCCATGTTAGCCCCGGACTCACCACCCGGCACAACAAAAGCCCAAAACTTCCATCTCTACAGACTTCCCTTGTGATGTCCGTCTAAGAACAATCTGTACTACAAATGATCAATCAATCAACTTAAAAATCGCCCGTTTCTGCACCCGCCATCTTGTGTGTTGGGATTGCCTAGGAGGCATGAACCATCCAAACACCTTATACTATAATGCGGAGTCCATTCTATTATTAAACCCTTCACACCGGCCACAGGAATATATGTGGCAGAAGAGTAGAGCCCACAGACATGCGTCGCTGTTTTCTGTCAGGACTCCGCTCAATCGTATCCCCCCAGGACAGCTCCCCGGTGACAAAGATTTGGAGCTGGACAGACTGGCCTCCGATCACGTGATCTCTGTGACAGGTGATAATATGATCGGAATGGCCAATAAAGCAAAATGTGCATCATTGTTTCTGGGTCCTGTTATGGGTACAAATAACGCACGCACACTGTATGTGGTATCCCCTTGAAGGTCAGGAGTAGGAGAGTTTCTTTTGGGGCAGTTTTTGGTGGGGGGATAATTTGTCACGAAAGTTGTTTGGACACAAATGAGAGTTTAATTATATAGATGATATAAACAGCGGAGTAGTGTCAGCACTGCCATGGGGCCCCTGGCTCTGGTGCCCTAACCCTAAAACACGAAAAGACAAACCTTGCCGCACTCCTTACCGGGACTCCCATAATCATCTCTGAGCCTGATGAAGGGGACCCTGTGTGACAGCGATTGTCAATAAATGAACACTTGCTGATTATCATCGTGTGGTGTGCTGGCAACATCCTCTAAAGCAGGGGTCTCAAACTCATTTGACTCGGGGGGCCACTCGACAATTCTATTTCTCCCATGGGGGCCTGGCTTGCCAAATTTCATACATCAAAATAAAATGTAACTATATCCGGTATGGTACTACGGACCCCAATACACACACAATAAGGCCCTATTCATATCAGTGAGTTTAGGTGCATTCCTGCGTCAGGATCTTGCGTTTTTCTGCAGCAGGAATGACTAATCTGGTGTTTAAAGGTGGCAGCTGTCACCTATTCAAAGTAATGATCAGGTGATAGCTGCTGCATGTAAATGCCAGCATACCGCATATAATAGTATGTGATATTATTACATGCGGTTAGAAAGAAGGCAGGCATTGAAAAACAGCAGGATTTCACAGCACCTGACACTAAAGTCGCTGGACATTTCATGCATGTTGTTAATGTGTGTGAAGCTGCCATGCTGACGCGTTTTATATTGTGAGGCATCTGAGTATCGGGGCTTCAATCAGAAAAACTCAAACCTTCACATTCTGCATCAGAGACCAGAACTGCGACATGTAACCAGCATGAGACAGAAGAGTGACGCACACAGAGGGAGGTCTGCAATCCTCATCGGCTCACTTACCATTTTTAATGTTCATTTTGGTCGTCGGAAAACCACAACTCTTCTGGCAGATTTCATTGTTGGCAATCTGCAAGAAACAAAAAAAAGAGTTTTTTACACTTATACGTGTATAAAATAATAAACAAAGATTGTATTTCTTACATCTCACTCTTATAGCTCCATCCTTCTACATTATACAGAGGAATGGAACTCCCAATGTGACAGGCTCCATCCTTCTACATTATACAGAGGAGCGGAACTCCCCATGTGACCGGCTCCATCCTTCTACATTATACAGAGGAGCGGAACTCCCCATGTGACCGGCTCCATCCTTCTACATTATACAGAGGAGCGGAACTCCCCATGTGACCGGCTCCATCCTTCTACATTATACAGAGGAGCGGAACTCCCCATGTGACCGGCTCCATCCTTCTACATTATACAGAGGAGCGGAACTCCCCATGTGACCGGCTCCATCCTTCTACATTATACAGAGGAGCGGAACTCCCCATGTGACCGGCTCCATCCTTCTACATTATACAGAGGAGCGGAACTCCCCATGTGACCGGCTCCATCCTTCTACATTATACAGAGGAGCGGAACTCCCCATGTGACCGGCTCCATCCTTCTACATTATACAGAGGAGCGGAACTCCCCATGTGACCGGCTCCATCCTTCTACATTATACAGAGGAGCGGAACTCCCCATGTGACCGGCTCCATCCTTCTACATTATACAGAGGAGCGGAACTCCCCATGTGACCGGCTCCATCCTTCTACATTATACAGAGGAGCGGAACTCCCCATGTGACCGGCTCCATCCTTCTACATTATACAGAGGAGCGGAACTCCCCATGTGACCGGCTCCATCCTTCTACATTATACAGAGGAGCGGAACTCCCCATGTGACCGGCTCCATCCTTCTACATTATACAGAGGAGCGGAACTCCCCATGTGACCGGCTCCATCCTTCTACATTATACAGAGGAGCGGAACTCCCCATGTGACCGGCTCCATCCTTCTACATTATACAGAGGAGCGGAACTCCCCATGTGACCGGCTCCATCCTTCTACATTATACAGAGGAGCGGAACTCCCCATGTGACCGGCTCCATCCTTCTACATTATACAGAGGAGCGGAACTCCCCATGTGACCGGCTCCATCCTTCTACATTATACAGAGGAGCGGAACTCCCCATGTGACCGGCTCCATCCTTCTACATTATACAGAGGAGCGGAACTCCCCATGTGACCGGCTCCATCCTTCTACATTATACAGAGGAGCGGAACTCCCCATGTGACCGGCTCCATCCTTCTACATTATACAGAGGAGCGGAACTCCCCATGTGACCGGCTCCATCCTTCTACATTATACAGAGGAGCGGAACTCCCCATGTGACCGGCTCCATCCTTCTACATTATACAGAGGAGCGGAACTCCCCATGTGACCGGCTCCATCCTTCTACATTATACAGAGGAGCGGAACTCCCCATGTGACCGGCTCCATCCTTCTACATTATACAGAGGAGCGGAACTCCCCATGTGACCGGCTCCATCCTTCTACATTATACAGAGGAGCGGAACTCCCCATGTGACCGGCTCCATCCTTCTACATTATACAGAGGAGCGGAACTCCCCATGTGACCGGCTCCATCCTTCTACATTATACAGAGGAGCGGAACTCCCCATGTGACCGGCTCCATCCTTCTACATTATACAGAGGAGCGGAACTCCCCATGTGACCGGCTCCATCCTTCTACATTATACAGAGGAGCGGAACTCCCCATGTGACCGGCTCCATCCTTCTACATTATACAGAGGAGCGGAACTCCCCATGTGACCGGCTCCATCCTTCTACATTATACAGAGGAGCGGAACTCCCCATGTGACCGGCTCCATCCTTCTACATTATACAGAGGAGCGGAACTCCCCATGTGACCGGCTCCATCCTTCTACATTATACAGAGGAGCGGAACTCCCCATGTGACCGGCTCCATCCTTCTACATTATACAGAGGAGCGGAACTCCCCATGTGACCGGCTCCATCCTTCTACATTATACAGAGGAGCGGAACTCCCCATGTGACCGGCTCCATCCTTCTACATTATACAGAGGAGCGGAACTCCCCATGTGACCGGCTCCATCCTTCTACATTATACAGAGGAGCGGAACTCCCCATGTGACCGGCTCCATCCTTCTACATTATACAGAGGAGCGGAACTCCCCATGTGACCGGCTCCATCCTTCTACATTATACAGAGGAGCGGAACTCCCCATGTGACAGGCTCCAGAGGAATGGAACTCCCTCTGTATTAGATGTGGGAAGCAGTGACCAGCAAAAACTAGAAGTCTGCTATGTCCTGCCGGCCTCATCATTCACCCCAGAATAACACTGAGACTCGTATTTCCTCAACAGCTTGGATCAGAAAAAAGTCATCGACAATCCCTCACAGTCATAAAATAATGATTCTGAGGAGATGTTTTTATTCTTAAAAATAAAGGTCAAAATACAGAAATCTTTTAAACGAGGGACCTCTGTGTTACTAGTCCTGCCGGAGGGAAGACGGTCTGAAGCAGAAAATAAATAATTGGTTCAGTAGGAGTTTCCCGTGTTCTGATCCGTGTATTCAGAAAGGGACACTAATTATTATAGAGGGCCACGTCCAGGCACTGAACAGTATCCGGAGCTCCCAATTCTAGCAAATGTTTAAAGAAACCAAAAGCTATTTTCTACTGCAGATTACTCAGTAACAACAACATGATTACAAAGAACACAGCCTAATGTATAACACCATAATGATGCATCACATCAGATTTGCCTTATCTGTCTTATTAACATTTCCTTCACTATTATAAAACATGAAATATTATTGATCTGACTGGGTGATGGCCTAATACCTATGCTGCACTCCTCTCAAGAGTAAATATTAGGACTACCTGTGAACCCCTCTCCCTTATCTAAAGTGTGCCTATATAGGAAGACGGGCAATGAGGCAGTCAGAAGGTATGCGCAAGTCAAACCCATCTCTGACGTCATGGCAGAACCCACAAACAGGATGAAGAATTCACAGAAATAAAACTTACAAATGTATCTCAATACAAATGAGTAAACTAAACGTGAGATTGTAGTCCAGCCCGGGGGGTGGGGGTGCTTAGAGTGGTGACTACTTTACAACACACACAGGGACCATGGGGAACAGACGTAGCCCCCCTCCAGAAGGAAGGACAGTGTCAGAGATGAGTGGAGGATCTACAGCCGACTGATACACAAATAAGATACATTGATGTTCAGAGTTCAGGGTCTCAGATGGATTTTTAAGGTTTAGTGTCACTTTAAAGTTCCTGTTTTTGTTGAGAGCCGACGGGATCCCCGAAAACTAAACCTATTAGGTCGCTCTGGGCAATGATTTCTTACAGGAACACAGGATGGAAGTCGCAGATTTCTTTCTCTTTCATTGATTGAAACATTATAAACTTCACAACAAAACAAACTCATTTCACAACTAAATACAGATGTAAATTAGGATTCAGGAATTGGTGAAGAGATTAAAGACGATATCACAGCAAGAAAAGTGATTCAATTATCTGAAGACCATCCGAAAAATACGGTTCAAATAATATCTGAAATGGAAATTATTACATAACTTGTCCCCGAGCAAAGTTTTCTGACACCTTGTTAGAGCTGCAGCTAACGATTATTTTCAAAATCGATTAGTTGGCCGATTATTAAGTTCGATTAATCGGTTAATCGGATAAACAATAAAATACATTTTAAAACATGGCTCCAGTGATGGGACTACTAGTTTGTATTGAGATTGCAGTCCATCACAGGAGCAAGCTTGGAGCGGTGGAAGTAAAAAAGAAAACAGTGTTATGTGCAATATAGTGAAATGGAAAGTGTAAAATTATACAGCAATGAATGCAGAATACCACCAGCTATAGAGGACTACAAATCCCAGCTATAATACATTATACAGCGCAATGCAGAATACCACCAGCTATAGAGGAATACAACAAATCCCAGCAATAGTACATTATAGCTGGTGGTATTCTGCATTGCGCTGTATAATGTACTGTTGCTGGGTTTTGTAGTCCTCTATAGCTGGTGGTATTCGGCATTGCACCACTGTATAATGTACTATTGCTGGGATTTGTTGTACTCCTCTATAGCTGGTGGAATTCCGCATGACGCTGTATAATGTATTATTGCTGGGATTTGTAGTCCTCTACACAGCGCAGTGCAGAATATCACCAACTATAGAAGAGTACAACAAATCCCAGCAATACATTATACATACAGTGTATGATGTATTGCTGGGATTTGTATTCCTATGTATAATATACAGCACAATGTACCATCAGCTATAGAGGACTACAAATCCCAGCAATACATTATAGAGCACCATGTGTGGGAAAGTGCAGGCTTACCTGAGCAGTCTTCCAGCAACTTGCTTCTGAGATAGGGTCTGCCTGAGATAGGTGCGTCGTGTAAAGCGTGGATGCGGGTCTGGCAGCGGTGAGCGTGATTTGGGGAGGAGGTGCAGCGTGTGTGGAGCCGTGAACAGGGCCAACTGATCGGAAGCCGATTAATCGATTATTGAAAAAGTTGACAACTTTTTCAATAATCGATTATAATCGATTATGTCGATTAGTTGTTGCAGCCCTACACCTTGTACATACCGATCATAGTCTGATATCATTTACCAGCGTGAGGAATAAAAACCAAAACATGCCACAGAAGTCAAATGTTCACTTTATTTCCAATCTAAACACTTTCAGCCGCTCATATTACTAAATGAGAGCAAGCCCGCGTTATAAAACCTCCCCAGTGATTTCCTTCTAATTGTAGGACGTTATGTAAGCAGTTAATTTCCCCAGTGATAGGAAAGTTGGAAGATCAGCCGGGTAACTCCCCGAGTCCCTCTTACCATCATCGGTGGCCAAACCGTTCTGAGCCCATGTCCTCAGCGTGACGAAGAATAGATTCATGAGCCAGCTGGCCAGGTACAACCCTCATCTGCGCTGTTCAGTTGCGGCATCGGATATATGACTATTGTTCAACGTAAAGAGTCACGAAAGATAAAGCAGC